CGTCCCTCCGCGGCCTGTTCTGTGCCGCAGCCCAAGCCTCGCAGGCCGGCGCACCTGACGTTCTCGTGGCGGTACATGTACATGGTGTTGAACTGCTGCTGGTCCTTCTGGCTCTCGTCTTTCTTCATGTCCTTCAACATCTCGTCAGCCACATGCTTGGGCAGGATGGAAAGCATGAGGTTCTCCTGGGAGAGCAGGAGAGGGTTAGAGGGCAGGGCAGGGCCTGGCCTGACTTTTCCAGGGGCAAGTTCGGATACTTCTGGGGAGAAACCCTCTGTTCCTGGTGAGAGATGTCAGCCAGGAGCCAGGCTGAGCCTCCACAGAGCCCTCGTAGACCCGCATCGGGAAGCAGCCAGGGGCCCCGGACGGGCAGCGGGACAGAGCTTTGACAGCCCCTTCAGAGCACCGAGGGGAGTCAGCAGTGCCTCAGAGAAGGCCAAGAGTAGCTCTGTGCTCAGCATCCTCCTCGTGCCACAAGCAGCGTGACAGTCCCCGTGCTGGCTGCTGCACTGTGAGCTCTAGGGGCAAGATCTCTGCAGAGTCACCTCGTGTCACTCAGCATGCCTGAAATTCAGATTCGACCTGACTGGAGACCCCCTGAGTACCAGGTGCCACGCAAGGTGCCCGTGATACAAAAGCAGCACAAGTTTGCACCTCAGAGCGCTGAGGGTCCTGGGGTGGACACGGGCAGGCACGCCCAGCGCAGTGCGAGGCAGTTTCCGTGACCGGAGCGGGGAGCAGCGGACTACGCAAGTGACGGGGGAGGCGGCATCAGGAGCCTTCCCGGAAGCGAGCCCCGGCCAGGCCTTGCGCGAGATGCTAGAGCGCTCCTGTCACAGGGGGCCACGCACACAAAGGCACAGGCACAAAAACTACACCAGGGTCAGGGACCTGCACGCATTTCATGGAGGGAGAAACAGGAATATGGCTCGAGAGCCAGGCACGGTTTAGATCAGGGGTCAGCAAAGATCTCCAAGGCCGCTTGGAGCAGTGACAAGTGGGGAGAGCGAGGGGAAGACAGTTCACCTCTCTCCAGCCTCCGCCACATCACGTGGCCTCAG